ACCCTGAGTCTAAGTGATCCGCTTGGTCTGTTTGGTTTCGGACAGAAGCAAAATCTTCCCGACTGCTGGAGCCGAGAGACACCAGGAGGATTGTAACTCCTGCTGCATGTTGCAGCCCCCCCGCCACCACCCACTACTCCGTTTGCTTTGTGCTCCGAGTCATCCTGCCTGTGGTCCTGATGCGAGTTGTTTTGTCCCCTCCTGTTGGTTTTGTCAGAGGGCTGCGCACACTCGAGGAGGGACTTTCTGTTGTCTGCGGACTGATGCGCGATCTGTTTGAAACTGCACTTCAGCTCGCCATGATTTACTTCTTAGAGATTTTTATTACTATTATTGTTACGTGAGAAAAAAAAACTTTAAACCGAAGAGCACTGTTTGCGTGTCTCACCAAATGTTCTCCTCGAAGAAGTTTGACCTGTCTCTGTCCTCTCCCTCGGTGTGTGATGGAGATGCTGGCGGAGCTGCGGAGATGTTTCACTCAGGACCATCCTTCACCGACAGCACGCTGCGGTCTGTCATCACGCGCCGTGACGACAGCCTCGTTATAGTCTGTGGCGCCACACCCATCCATTCATAAAGTGGAACGAGCCCACTCCCACCCCACCCCACGCACCGGGCCGGACTGTGCTGCGCGCGAGCAGAGAATACGCTTTTTTCTTTTATCAGCATTCTGCATTCATACTGCAACTACTGAGTTCTACAGCTCAACTGTGATCAGTCATGAAGCTATTTTCTCCCTCTCTTTTTTAAATAAATGATAATATTTAAACTCCAGATCTAATCTCACTCCTTCGAAACAGACTTTTGCTGCCTTTTTACTTTAATTTTAAAAAAATATGAGGTTATTTTCTAACCTGAATGTATAATCTCTGTATACAGGCAAAGTCTTTAGTTTAATTGGCTTCATAAAATACTAAAACAAAATCATTTCTGATCCATATATTCATTCATTGAATTATCCATCCATCCATCCATCCATCCATCCATCCATCCATCCATCCATCCATCCATCCATCCATCCATCCTGAGGCTTATCTGTGGTTCCAGAGGCAACATGGAAACCCATCTCTGTTCCCATGAATTCTCCCTCAAGACATTCCCAGGCCAAAGGATGCCCAGTCCATTCATCAAGGTTTGGGTCTGCCACAGGGTCTCATCCCAATAGGACATTTCATTTTAAAAAATCCCAAAGGGATCCTAATCAAATGCTCAAGCCACCTCAGCTGAGTTTGATCCAGATGACGTCACAGAGGACTTTGGAGGAGTGGTTCCCCCAAACGATGAAGCTCCTCTGAGCCCAGCCACATTGAATTTTGATTCAGCCCCTGTATCCAGGAATCTCATTGTTTTCTGATCCATTCCTCAACACCATAGGTGTACTTGAGAATGTAGATGGACCAGTAAATCAAGAGCTTTGTCTGTCAGCTCAACTCCTTCTCAAGAAGAAATTGAGGCAACGCCCCACCTACTGCATGAGGCCCCAAAATCAGTGATCCAGTCCTGTAGTACACAGTACATTGTTCAGGCTTTTCCATTAAAACAATGCATTAAATTACATTTTTTTTCAAGTTGTTTGTAATAAAAAAAAACAAGATTATTACAAACTAATGTTTTAACGGACTAAAGCAAAGCAATAAAGCTTTATTTAAAGAAAACCAAAGTCACTGCAGGCAGATAATTTAAAAACAGAATTCAGGACAAGACCAGTAACAGCACTGATTTGACACAAAAATAAAAATGGTGCAGCCACAGAGAGCAAACTATAGGACAAAGATCCTGCAATGACCAAAGGAAACCAAGGAGCGTCTAACGAGGATTGACAAAGTGATTAGCAGGCAAAAATGAAACCAGAGGATAAAATAAACAGAATCTGAAGCACCTTGGGGCAAATGAAATAGAAAATAAACATTTACACAAGAGTTTGCAGCTTTGCTCAAGGGCACTTCAGACTTTATGACGCCACCTCTATTGCTGATTGTTGTTTGGTGGCTCGTACCTCTGACTGAAACAAGTCTATTCAAGTCAGTCTGTTAATTCAAGGCCAGCATAGAGTAGAATTACAAAACATACTTAGTTAAAAGCTCTTTTACACCTGGTTACACTAATAAAACACATTTTGAAACTACTGGGTGATGCGTGGCTCAGCGATAAAGGTGTAACCACCATCAAGGAGGATGCTGATTGCAGCTGTTGTTCAGTGCAGACACCAGTTTGAAGGAATTTTAAACTGTTGATCAAATCTCCTGCTGGCTCTGACTGTGCTCAGTCTCATGACCTGAGAACTCGTTCTAGAAAAGAGAAAAATAACAAGGTTGACAAGCTCTTTTTGTTACCAATACCCCCCCAAAAAATGTTCCTTAAAACAAATCACTCACTGAAATTAAGTTTTTTTAATATTATTTCTTTAAGCTATGTTTTACTAAATATGTTTAATTTTTCAAGACAATCCACACTTTTTAACCAAAAATCTTTACATTTATAACACATTCTTGTTTCAGCCCAATGAATTCATCCCTTCTTGGCTGAATTGTTTGCAACTCAAAAGCTCAAGAATGTATAATACACTGACTGACTGATTTGTTTGAACATTAGCTTGAGCTGGGAAAAGCCGATAACATGAAGCGACAGTGGCTCAGGAAGTAAGGCGTTCCTCCAATAACTGCTGGGTTGCCAGTTCGAAGCCCCGCTCTGTCCGTCTCAATTGTCTTGTCCATGGGCACATCATCCGCCTTGCCTGCTGGTGGTGGTCAGAGGTTCTGGTGGCACCTCACCTCTGTCAGTCTGCCCCTGTGCAGCTGTGGCTGTATGAATGTGTGTGTAAATGACAGTAGTGCAAAGCACTTTGGAATCCATAAAGACTTGAAAAGTTCAGACCATTTACCATTTTACATCCAAAATCCTGAAGAACAAAGAAACGTGTTAAAAAAAGACAATTGTTTTTGACAAACTTCATTATTTTTATCTCACCTTGTGTACGTTTGTGTGCTTAAAGTTGTCTTTGTTCAAATCTTACTCTGGTAAAAAAGAAATCGACAGACAGCTGGAGTTTTGAGAGCTCCTTGTTTGCTGCTCAGCAAGGCAGCAGCAGGCAGCCATGAATGTCCTGTGAAATGAAGTAAATGAAGCGATCTGCCCGGGCTTGTTCCTACCTCAGCCTGGACATCAGCTCCAGGCAACCGCCTTCGAGCTGTGGTCAGTGAGCATGGGAGTTTTCTCTGGAGATGGAAGTTATGGCTTTTTGAAGGGAGCCGGATCATTTTGATTTGTTCCTTTCATAATGCCATTCAGTTTTGAACAATTAGTCCCATGGTACAACCAGGGATGTACGACCATATATGTAATTACTACTACTATATCCGTGCATAGTACATAGTACAGTGTACCACATGACTTGTCAAGCCTTTTTATCCCTCCCCTCTTGAGCGTACTGTTTGCCATTTACAACAACTGCTGCACTCCCCCTGTCTGCTTGCTATAGCTTAATTTTAGTGGAAAAGTAAATGAGTGCATGTCTGAGAAGGAAAACACAAGCAAAAGCAAAACAGGAATGACTATCACAGTTCATTTTAAAAGAACCGTCTAAAAGGTTTGGTTCGTTCACAAACGTCACATCTCTTCTAGTGGAGACAAGTGTTTGAGCACCATGTTGTACTAGTGTAACAATCACTTTTGGAATAAACCATGAGCTCTTAAAAAAGAAGCTCGTTCATTTTGAATAGTTGGTTAATTCAGCTGACAAACACAACAGGACAAAAGTCCCACGCCCAGTTTTTGCTGGGCTCATGTTCTCCACTCTACTTCAAATGGTAGTAAGTCTTTCATTCAAAGTGTCCTCCGCAGCAGTTTTCTATTGTCTGTGGACAAAGTATTGATGCAGCGGCATGGGCACAAAGGGGGTACAATGAGGGATCCGTGTAGTTAACCAGGCCGTCTGTTAGTCTTTTTTTTTCTGGGAGACAAACTGCTGATCGCAGTGGTGTGAAAGGCCTACATCAGCTACATTTAATAATTAAATATAACTGGCCAAAGTGTTGCAACTCTGCACACAAATAAATAACCCACCTCAAGCACCACTAAAATGAGTTTGTTAGTTTTGTACAGGAATCCCATACCTTCATTCTTACATGCTATTTGAAACAAACCATCAATTTAACATAGTAAATTCTATTTTTTTGTGCTGACTCACTACAATGGGTGTCTCTTTGCCTCACAGCTACTGTTTTTCTTCTGTCTGATCTCTCAAACAAAGCTGTGTTACAGAATTACCAACTGGGCTAAAACAACTGCTCACAAAAGAGACCCTGACTTGGTGGTTCTGGCCCTTTCACCAACTTTACCTCATTCTGAACAACGCATCATGATGGCATTATAAATGTTAAAGGGGCAATATCATGTAAAATCAACTTTTTTGACTTTTAAATCATGTTATAATGCTATACTCATAAAAAAACATTCCCAAAGCCTTGCTTTGACTCATTCATGCATGTTTGAGAAATCCTGCAGCGTTTTTAGGAAGCCATGCTGAGGAGCAAAACGACAGGTGGGGACCAGAAACGCCTTTTGGGACCAGAAACGCCCCTGGGACGTGTCTTTAAGCCAAACTTCCTCATGGCAGAGCGCCCGTCCCCCCCGTCTCCTCCTCCCCACATACCCCGACCTTGACTCCTGCAGGCTCTCGGGTGAAACTGAAAGTGAAACTTAAACTGTCTGCTGAGCTCCACTACTTCTCACTTAGTGAAGCTCTTCGTACTACAGTTTTCAGATTAAAAATACCTTTTAGGAAATATATTTTCAGATGCCAGGTAAACCTCACAGCAGCCTCCCCTCCCCCCGCGACCCCCCCCCCACAGAAATTGGCAGACAGAAGCGGAAGGTGGTTCTTAAAGAGACAGAGACCAATTTCAAGGCATTTAGAAGAAGTGATGAGAAGATAAGTTTATTTTCTATTTAAACATAAAAACAGCATTTTAATAACAACTAGAGGTGACATAGATACTTTATTATGGTATAGTCTTTAAATGTATGTCTGAGAAACACATAATATTTCCCCTTTAATGTTTAAGTTATTACAGCATCGTTTTGTGTTTCAAATGCTTTTGTGCTTCACTTTGACGTTAGCCCTGTTTGGATTCAGTTGATCTCTGAATAATTAAACTCTATTTTTTCCAAACTGAGATCAATCAAAACAGTTGAGACATGATTAGAAGCCCAGTTTGAAAGATTTGAAGTATTCCGTTACACAAAATATACCTGAGCAATTATCCACCAAACATAATGTTACTTGAGCTCTAACAGACTTTTTGTAAATTACATTTTCTACACATATACGTGTTAGAAAAAGACAAATGTAAATGACGCTTTTGTTTCGTCACTTTGTCCACTTTCTCAGTGCAGACAAAGATCAAAAAGACAATAATATCCCCCCCGCCAAGATTTAATCCCTTAATCTCTCCATGCATCAGTCTGCCTCCAACCAGACCTGGGCCAGTCGGGCACCTGGCCTCTCTGGCCCTCTGTCTGGGCTCTCTGATTCCCCCCAGGGCGTCACACAGGTGCTATGAATAGACACGGGCGTATGCTCCGTGTTGTCAGCGTGCAGGCACTGGCACGCGTGGCTCATGTCAGCATGGCTGCAGCGCAACGCTCCCGAATGGCGTCACTTCACCGGCAGCACATTTGGGTCGCTATGGAAACAGCTACCTCTGCCCTGACATCCTTTTTGACTGTGTTTTTTCCCCCCCAAACAAACTCTGATGCCTTTTCTCAAAATCTCTTCCGGTCTTTCTTTCCTCATCCCTCTC